AGCAGGGCTTAGTGAGAGCCGGGTGGAGAGGGAGGCAGGTTCTGAGGAGTGAGAGTGAATTAGGGTGAGGCAGTAACCAAAGGATTCCAAGGACACCATGGCTTTGTTTCCTTTGGTAAAACTGTTTATTTCAGGGTAGGTGAAACATTCTTTGAAGCCTGGCCCTGAAGATAAGAGGTTTCTTATCTTAGTCCGTCAGCCCATTGTGTGAGGAAGGTCTTCCACAGGTCTAAACCCCTGTCCCAGCACCTCAGTCCCAATAGCCTCCAGGAGAGGAGATTGAGAGCAGATAAAAAAAATTGTAGAGATAGTTCTGATGTAAAATGATAGGGTCATTTGTTTAGATGTGGGAGACATTTTTTTGAAAAACTGCTTTGTTGAGATAAAATTGATTTTATGAGGGAGAAATTGAGGAGGACCCTGAGGCCTAACTTTGTAGAGCATTTGGGGGTTAAATGAATCTGGTTTCTAAGCATAGAAAACAGTAGGTTCTGGTTTGAGGTAGGGACAGATATGCAGATAATCAGTAAGGTGATGTGACGGATCTGACTGGGAAATTCAAGCTGAAACTTCAGGCAGGCGGCTGTGCCTGTGGAGGAAGGATTGTGTAGTACCTCAGAGTACAGGCTTTGGAATCGGAGCTGAATTAAAATCTCAATTACTTCTTTTAGATCACATGGTCTTGGGAGAACTACTTAACTCCTTTGGGTGCTCCCCCACCATTTGATCTTCAATTCCATTTTGTCTGGTAGTAATATTCCCACATTTATTTCAGGAGATTGAGGTTCAATTCCTGGTGAGGGCACCTGTCAGGGTGGTGGGCTCAGTCCCTAGTAGGGGGCGTAAAGGAGGCAGCCAATCAATGACTCTCATCATTGATGTTTCTATCTCTCTCTCCCTCTCCCTTCCTCTCTCTGCAATCAATAAAGATATATTTTTAAATAAATTTTTTAACATAAAAATCAAGTCAAAAAGAAACCTAATTATAATCCCACTCATGTCCTCAGAGGTAAAAACAACAAATTGAGTCATGGGAGTTAAATGGAAAAGAGCTTGCAGGTAGATCATTTTGTGTACACTCTCTAATTTAGCACTCAGATAGGTTAGGTAATTTTCCCAAGGTCACAGAATAATTGACAGAATCAGTACCCGAACTCAGATATTATCACTTGTCACTTTCTGACCCTTCTTGACATTAATGGCTCTTCTGGTACCCAGTGTTAGCAGTAACCGATTCATATCCTTGCTTATCTTAATATGAAACTAAGACAACGGCTGTGTATGTGTCAGAGATTAAGTGATAATATTACAGTATTCTCTGTCACGTTTTTCTTTCCTTCACTTGGTGGTGAAATTTGTACTCCACCTACACAGATGTAAGCCTGTTCAGAAGGACCAGACCAGGCAGTGGCTTGTTGAGTGTGACTGGAATAGGGAGCCCACCCAATCCATGAGTGCACCACTTCAGTTTTCTGTCCGACCTGTGTTCTTCCTGTTGGCTGAATTTTCTCTCTAGCAGGACAGGAATTAATATGATCGTCAAAGAGATTCACTCACTATAATTATCTAGATGTGCTGAGTCCCTGTGACATATATGGCACTGTGCTAAAGTGCTTTATAATGTTACCGTGAGCCCGCCTGCCACTCTGTCAGGAAGATGGTGCCATCGCAGTTTGAGGGGACAGGACCACAGAAGTCACTACTTGTTTAGTGGCAGGATAGGGGGTGGACTCAGGTTCCTGTGTTCTATCCACTACAATGCCCTGCTTTTCATTTTTAATTCTTTTGAGTAGAAGAGCGGATGTACGTTTCTAAATGGAGTCCAGATTGATAGTGCATCTCCCCTTCGTGTGGCACTGACATACTGTCCCAGCATCATTAGAATATAATCCTGGTGGCAGCAGCTCAGGGATGGGACTGAATGGTTAATGTCCAGTATTTTAGGGGCTACAGTGGGTTTTCATTTCATTTAATGTTATGATCCCAGAGTCCAGGGGAAATTTTAACTTCACACGAATAAACGTTAATAATATTCATCACAGCTCCTTTTTCAGACATGCTATTATACTTTTAGAGTGCTGCCTCTATGAAGTTAGTGGTTGTTAATGATTTAAATACTGAATGAGTTATCTGCTCAGGTTGCCATAACAAAATAGCATAGACTAGGTGGCTTAAACAGAAATTTATTTTCTCACAGTTCCAGAGGTTGGAAAGTTCGAGGTCAGGGTTCCAACAGGGTTCAGTTTCTGATGAGAGCTCTCTTCCTGGCTTGCAGAAGGCTGCTTTGTTCTTGCATGAGCATCTGAGCTTGCAGAGTGGGAAGTAGAGAGCTCTCTGGTGTCTCTTCTTATAAGGACTCCAATCCTATTGGATTAGGGCCCTACTCTTGTGACCTCATTTTACCATGATTACCTCCTAAAGGCCCTGACTCCAAATACAGTCATATTGAGTAGTAAGGCTTCAACATATGAATGGGGGGTTGGAGGGAGTTGGTCACAATTCAGTGCACAGGAGTTGTTGATTTTTTCTTGTGTTTAAGACGCATTTCTTAATAATTTAACTTTCACATTATCTGGCACATTCTTTAGGAAATATTTTAAATAACTAAATCTCTTAAATCATTTAATTCTTATTAAAATATTGAAATATCTCATGTGCTCTCCTTTAATTTAAAAGGTTGCATGATCTGTTCTTGGTAATGGTTCCAGCACTCACCAGCATGCTCTTCAATAATATAAAAGTGTTATTTGCTTATTTCACCATTGTTTGCCTGTTCTCGGTATGACTGTTTTTAAAAAGACAGTTGTTTAAAGAAGGTTCTGCAATAGGATCTTGACTTCCGGGTAGAAAAAATGGAATTGGCACTCAATAAGAGTTTGATGGATAAAGATATGTTATTCCTTTAGAAGATTATTTGGGGTAAAAGTAATTATCTTTGTAGTAATGTCCAGCCCTGTTGAGATAGAACCACCTTAAGAACTACAGTGGAACCTCGGTTCTCGAACTTAATTCTTTCTGGAATTTCATGGCTCAAGGAAGCATCATATTAAAAAATTAGTTTTGTATATTTTCCCCTAAACGGAGGAAGGAGCATTTCAAAGAACACTATTTTTTGAATTGAGTGTTTTCGTTCAGCTTGTGATGCTTTCTTATCTGACTAGGTCAGGAGCTCTTCACACACCAGACCAGCTGCACATTTGGCCCCTCGCATTGTTGACCTGACTCAGTAGGATGTGCTTGTGAGGCATGGAATCTGCCCTTGGCCGACTGTCCATCTTTGGGGTTTTCTCCCAAGTCCTTTTCATTCTGTCAGAGAACCAGTGTTCTGTCGCTCTGAAGGACATCATGTTTTTAAAAAAGAGAGAGAGAGGTAGCACTGTTGGTTTGCAGAGCATCCCATCAGTGTCAGAATTGGGCGCAGAGCAGGCGATCTGTGCATTACTCCGCGTAATACTGTATCAAACTGGAGGGCGGCAGGGATTCCCCAAGAGCAGAATTTAGTGCCTCTTCGTCAGCCTCACTGTCAGCGTGGGAAATCGTGCTCCAAATGAGCCGGGGCGCATTCTTCTTGAAAACCTGAGGGAGGCAAGGGCCGCAGCCTAACCGTGCGCCCGCCTCCCCT